TGAGCATTTCAAATTGAAAACCCCAGGTACCTTGGTTGGCTCAGTTGGTTAAGCTTGTGACTCTAGATTTGGGGGTCATATGTTTGAGCCCCACATTGTGTGTAGAGATTACTTAAAATTGAAATTTTTAAAATAAAGTTGAAAAACCCCTTTTAATGAAACATGGCATTTGATTGCCAGCTAATGTACTGAGTGAGCAAAGGCTGTTCTCATGAAACTACTAGTAGTAGGTACACTAAAATTAGTATTCTGGCATCCTACTAATATTTCAGTATTTGGAACCCTATCAGTCACATCCCTTTCTACACTGTACCGTACCACTTTTGTTTTACTTTTTAAGATTTTTAAAAAATACTTATTTTGGAGAGCGAGATAGCAGGAGAGGAACAGAGAGAATCCCAAGCAGACTCTGCACTGAGTGCAAAGCTTGATTTGGGGCTTGATCCCATGACCCCGAGATAATGACTGAGCTGAAACCAAGAGTTGGAGATTTAACTGACTGTGCCGAGGTGCCCCTACTTTTTTTAAAGTTTATTCTAAACTGAAGTGTAGGTGACAGTATTATATTAGTTTCAGGTGTGTATAGTTATTCGACATTTATATACACATCATGAAGTTCTCACGCTAAGTATAGTTAGCCATCTGTTACCATACAAAGTAATTATTTTTAAAGATTTTATTTATTTATTTGACAGAGAGATAGCAAGAGGGAACATAAGCAGGGGAGTGGGAAAGGGAGAAGCAGGCCTCTTTCTGAGCAGGGACCCTGATGCGGGGCTTGGTCCTAGGACCCTGGGATCATGGACTGAGCCACCTAGGCACTCCCCCCATATGAAGTTATTAAACTATTTTACTATATTCCCCATGCTGTACTTTACATCTCTGACTATAACCAGAAGTTTGTTCCTCTTAGTTCTCTTAATTTATTTGCTCCTCTCCACTGCAACCACTAGTTCTCTGTATTTATGAATCTGTTTCTGTCTTGTGTTCATTTTTATTCTTTTTTAGATTCCACATATCAGTAGAAATAGCATGGTACTTGTTTTTCTCTTTCTTCATGGTAGCATAGTACCCTGCCTCTAAGTTGATCTGTGTTGTTGCACATGGCAAGATTTCATTCTTTTTATGGTTGAGTAATACTCCTTGTGTGTATCATATCTTTATTCATCTCTTAGTGCACACTGAGATTGCTTCTGTATCTTGGTTATTATAATTAATACCATAGTAAACATAAGAGTGTGTATATCTTTTAAAATTTGTGTTTTAATTTTCTTGGAGCAAATACCCAGAAGTGGAATTACTGGATCCTATGGTATTTCTATTTTTAATTTTTTTAGTAACCTCCTTATTGTTTTCCAGGTGGCTGCATCAACTTATGTTCCTACCAACAGTGCATGAGAGTTCCCTTTTCTTGTTAAGAAAGACTTAATTAACATTCTTGCCAAGACTTGTTATTTTTTTGTCTTAGGGATACTACCATTTTGACAGGTGTGAAGTGATACCTCATTATGGTTTTAATTTGCAGTTTTAAAAATATTTATTTGAGAGTGAGCAAGCACAAACACAAATTGGGGGAGGGCCAGAGGGGGGAAGGAGCTTTAGCCTTCCTGCTGAGCAGGAAGCCTTACCTGGAGCTTTATCCCAAGACTACAAAACTATGACCTAAGCTGAAGTCAGACACTTAATCGACTGAGCCACCCAAGGCCATTAATTTGAATTTTTTGATGAATAAAAATATTGAACATTTTTTCATGTGTTAGCCATCTCAGTCTCTTTTAAAAGACGTCTGTGGGATGCCTGGGTGGCTCAGTCAGTTAAGCATCCTAATCTTCATTTTGGCTCAGGTCATGATCTCCGCTAGGGTCAAGCCCTGAGTCAGGTTCCATGCCCAGCATGGGGGAGGGGGGAGTCTGCTTGAGATTCTTTCCTCCTCCCTCCCCCTGCTCCAGTGCTTCTCCTCTGTTTTTTCCCCCTATTTGAAGTGTGCGTGCTCTCTTGCTCTCTTAAATAAATAACATCTTCAGAAATGTCTATTCAAGCCCTTTGCCCCCCCCCTTTTTTCAAGATTTTATCTATTTGAGAGAGTGTGTGTGTGTGCGCGCGCTCGCATGAGGTTGGGGGGGGCAGCGGGAGAGGGATGAACAGACTCCCTGCTGAGTGTAGAGCCTGAAGAAGATCCTGACCCGAGTCACACTCAAGACACTTAACCAACTTAGCGGCCTAGGCACCCCCTCTGCCCATTTTAGATCAGATTGGTTTTTTTTTTTTTATATTTTTTGATTTCTTTCTATATTTTGAATATTAATCCCTTACTGGATATATCATTTGGAAATATCTCCCTCCATTCAGTAAGTTGCCTATTTATTGTATTGATGGTTTCCTTCACCATGCAGTTGTTTTTTTAGTTTGATAGACCCAGTTGTTTTCCTTTTGTTGTTCTTGCCTAAGTAGACTAATTTAGGGAAATACTGCTGAGAGTGATAGCCAAGAGTTTACTACCTGTATTTTTGTTGAGGAGTTTTATGATTTCAGGTCTTAAATTTTATATTACATTAATCATTTTGAGTTTATTTTTACATATGGTGTGAGAAAATGGTCCAGTTTAATTAATTCTCTCATGTAGCTGTCCATATTCTCAATACATTTATCAAAGAGACTCTCTCCTGCTGTAGATTCTTGCCATTTTTTTAAAGTAGTCCTTATACCCAACATGGGGCTTGAACCCACAACCCTAAGATTAAGAGTTACATGCTCCTCCTACAGACCCAGCCAGGCGTCCCTCATGCCTTTTTTTAATCATAGGTTAATCGGTTAATATGCACGTTTTAATAGTATTATTTTTTCCAGTCCATGAGCATGTTGTATCTTTCCATTTATTTGTGTCCTCTCCAGTTTCTTTTCTCTCCCAGTTTTCAGAGTACAGGTCTTTCCCCTTCTTGGTTAAATGTATTTCTAGGTATTTTATTCTTTTTGGTGCAGCTGTCAGTAGGATTGTTTTCTTAATTTCTGTTTCTGCTACTTTGTTATTAGTGTATTTCTATACACAACATATTTCTATATTTTAATTTTGTGTCCTGCAACTTGACTGAATTCATTTCTTCTAATAGTTTTTTGGTGGAGTCTTTAGGGGTTTTGCGTATATAGGTCATCTGTGGGGGGTTTTGTTGTTGTTGTTTTGGTTTTTTCTGTTTCTTAATTTCCTTTCTAATTTGGATGCCTTTTATTTCTTGTCTGATTGCTGTGGCTGGGACTTCCAGTACTATATTGAATAAAGGTGGTGAGAATAAACATCCTTGGCTTGTTCCTGATCTTATGATGTTATGAGTATGATGTTAGCTGTGGTTTTATTATATGTGTCTTTTATTATGTCTTTTATTGAGGTATGTTCCCTCTAAACCTGCTTTATTGAGAGTTTAAATGGGTGTTGAATTTTGTCAAATGCTCTTTCTTCCTGTATCGAGAGAATCCTGATTCTTTTTCTTTTTACAAAGATTTTATTTATTTATTTATTTATTTGACAGACACAGAGAGAGAGGGAACACAAGCAGAGGCAGTGGGAGAGAGATAAGCAGGAAGCCCAGTGTGGGCCTCCATCCCAGGACCCTGAAATCATGACCTGAGCTGAAGGCAGACGCTTAACAACTGAGCCACCAAGAATCGCAATTCTTACTTAGCCTTTTATTTTGTTAATTTGGTGTGCCATGTTGATTGATTTGCGGATATTGAATCATCATTGTATACCTGGAATAAATGCCACATGATCATGGTGAATAATTATTTTAGTGCATTGTTGATAAGACTTAATTTTGGTTTTGATAACACTTTTTTTAAATCTGCAAGTGAGGGGTGCTTGGGTGGTTCAGTCCGTTAAGCATCTGTCTTCAGCTCAGGTCATGATCCCAGGGCCCTGGGATTAAGTCCCGCATCAGGCTCCCTGCTTGCCGGGAGTCTCCTTCTCCCTCTCCCTTTGCCCCTTCTTCTTGCTTATGTTCTCTCTCTCTTGCCTCCCCCACCCCCCCAGTAAAATCTTAAATAAATAAATCTGCAAGTGAGTACCTAATATCTCCTAAGCACTGTGGAGGAGGGGAGGTTTGGAGAAGTGTGACATCCTTCCAGCCTTCATATTGAAGATAGAGAAGATCAGTTCTGTGTCACTGCTTTGTTTTAATTTGCAGTGTAACTGAGGAAGTTATGGACTTTTTAAAGACATCATAAATACTCTAGCGAATATCTTTTCTTACAGGAGATTCAGATGATTTTCTTTTTAAGATTTTACTTATTTGACAGTGAGTGAGAGAACACAGGGGGAGAAGCAGACTCCCCGTTGAGCAGGGAGCCCAATGTAGGGCTTGATCCTAGAACGCTGGGATCATGACCTAAGCCAAAGGCAGATGCATAACCAACTCAACCACCCAGACGATTGTTTTCATGCTCATGTAGGACCTAGACTCCAGACCATTTAAATGTCATACTGATTTATTATTTTCTTTGTCTATCTAAGCTTAGATAGACTAAGCTTTATCTTTCGGGAATTCTATGATCAGATAACTCTGCTGTGTTTCGCTTTGCAATTCTAGGGTTGGGGATGAGTTGTAATGGTGCGCGGCCAGATGGTGAAGGGAGAGTTTTGTCATTTTGATATTGCACTTGGCTGTCACCCGTCTATTATGGCTCAAGCTCTGGGTCCACGCAGCACCACCTCCTGGATTTTCCAGCCTTTTACCTTTATTCCCAGGCTTTATCTCCAGTCCGGGAATACTAGCTTCCGGATAAAGGGAGAACTAGGAATGCCCTGCATTGCTGTTTTTGGTTTAACTCAGAGTATAGGTTTTTCTCTTACAGACCTTTGGTTTATAAGTATTATTAAATTGCATTGTTGAAGCTAATAAATTATTTTTAAGTTAAAAACCCATAAAGATTATTTCAGGCTCCATATTCGGGAAACACACATGCTGGGATTGTTTTTAAGTTTAGTAAAGTTTTAAAATCTGTTATTCTAGGAACTCAACAGAGGCAGTTGTTATCCCGACTGCAAATTGACCCAGTAATGGCAGAAACTCTACAGATCAGTCAAGGTTGGTAAAAATCTTAAATTTTCATTGTAATCTAGCATTTTTCAGTTGCTGTTTCCATTTCTTACACTTCATTTAATGTATCTTGTATATTTTAGATCCTGCCCTAAGATGCTATATTTAGATTGTGAAAATATTTTAGGGCCAGGAAACAAGATCTGCATTTTCTTCATGTTTCATGGTGTTTGTATTTTTCGTCTCATTGAAAAACTTTCTTGCTTTGGTGCCATTTCACCTGAGTCTCTGGAATCTTCTGGCTGTCACTCCCCTGCTTTAGGGACAACTCAAATCCCTACCCTCTCTCCTTTCTACCCTACTTTTTCAATGTTTTGCCCTGCTTTACTGTCCTGTTGTCTGTTCAGCCTTATCCTCACTTATTTCACTTTAGAACCTGCTTACCAGGGCCACACCAAGAACTTGTTGTTCTTAGAGCCCCCATAGCTTAATTTTTTGCCTGCCCCCCCCATCTACCTCGCCCAGCCTAGACATAGATGCCAGGGGCTACTTCAGGACAGGGGGTGATTGCCTTATTTATCTCTGAATTCTCCCCATTCTCCAGTGCCCAGCCTCTGCCAGATGCATGTACAGTCCCCAGTAAATGTCCGCTGCCTACATGAAGGGAGCCGTTGGCTACCTGCAATCTTAAATTCGGAAACCTTCTTTTTTTCTCTTTTCCCTGTACCTACCCGTTGTTGGAATTTCTGGTGCCTTGACCCCTCACTTTGGCTCTTCTACTCCTCTGGTCAGGCCTCCAGAGTCGTATATCCCCTTACCCCACCTAGCTCTGTCTCAGAAAGAGGAACTTGTCCTCTCTCAGGGTTACCTTCCACCCAGACACCGATCCTCCCCAGTTGATGAATACTGGAGTAGCCCCACACTCCTGTAGTTTTAGTCTTTGCCTCTCTCTTGGCTTCTCCTTTCTTCTGTCAAAGTGTTAGATATTCTCCATCCTTGATTTTGCCCTGTCATCTCTCCACATTCCATTCTGCTTCCCACATTAGGGTATTTCAAAATGTTTGGCAGCTAAGCTCTGTGTATGTTGTATCCATTTCATTGGGACTTGCACATTCTTTTTTTGTTTCTTTAACTTTTCTTTTTTTCCATGGTGCATGTACAGTTTGAAGCATCTAGTTCTATGAGGCTTACGAGGGACTGCCTTCTTGGCTTACCTCTTGTGATGGTTTTTATTTGTGAGAGGCCTCTTATTTCTGCATATTCCTTTTATTTTTCACATACTTACTTTGTTTCATATGTATGCAACGCTCTGTTATTTCTCTGAGGATATTAAAAGATATTTTTGCGTATTTTTTCCCTTCCCTTCTTAGTCTTATTTTCTCCAAGTTTGTTTCAATTGCTATCTTTTGTGATAGGTTTTCCTCAGGTGTCTGAGGATCCTTGATTGTCTTATATTTATGAGTGGGAAAGCTGATTGGCATTCTGGGTTCATTAGTCTGGGTGATGGGCTTTTGACTTCACATTTGAGTATAGATCCTACTGTGGAAAGTCATTTTTCTTGTCTAATACAGGGGCACCCTGAGGTTACTGTCTTTAGGCTTTTCCTCTTGGAGTGGTTCGTTTCTCCAAAGAAAGATCTTTCAAAGTAGTGGATTGGCTGCCAGTGTTCTGGTGAGGAAAAGGGGCTGGGGGAGGCACTTCAACTTCAGTTACCATGTGATGTTTGCTTAAGACCCCCTCCCTGTTTTCAAAATGGTACTTCTTTCTGTGTGGCTGGCATTCCTTGTTCCAAAGGCTCTACGTTTCGCCCTTTTCAGGAGTCTTAAGCTCCACTCTTCTCCAAGGGAGAAAATAGTCAAAGGGTTATCAGGATATCTAAATGCTTTTAAAAATTTTAATAGTATACATTTAGCTTGTTTTGTTGTAGCACTATTCTGTCAAAGACCATGATGCTTCATTTGTAGGCCTCTCCAACATTGACCAATGGGAAAGCATGTCTCCAGTTATTCCAAAAAACTTGAATATACATAGGTTGGGGAATGGGTGTGATAGGGATCAGAAATGAAGAAAACATTCTGAGTTTAAGAAGACATAATTGCTTCTGGAATGGACACTTGAACACACCTGTTTCGGCCTTGACTTCCCCCTTTTGCCAAAGTCCCCTGTGCTGCCGGTTACCCAGCCTTTGGAGAATCTTCGGATCCACATTGGATTACTTCATTATTGGCTTAAGACTCGGCTTTTGAAGATCTTAGTTTTTCACTTTCAAAATCTGGATGTCTCCTCTTAAACAGTTATTTTCTTTGTGAGTTTATCTTCCAATAAATTAACCCTTTGTTGACATTTTAGTGAGGTTTTAGGAGGAAACCAAATGCATGGGTTCAGCCTGTGGTCTGTACCCAGAAGATGTCAGTAATCTCACATCTGTCTGCTTCTCTTTGACCCAGGTGATAACGTAAATCTTGCAGAGGTGACTAGTGGCTTATGTGGAATGAAAAGCTGTTTTCAATGCCCACTTTGCTAAACTTTATAGCATATGGCACGTCGTTCCCGTGTTTTCTTAAGTCTTTGTTTGGCTTCCAGGACTTCATGATCTCTCTTCTGTAATTCCATGTCATTCTCCTGTATCACCTCCTCTCCTCCTCTGTTAACGCTTAAAATGATCATTTTATCCTGTGTCCTACCCTTAGCATTATTTTCATCTCTTTTATATTCTCCCAAGATACAAACTGGTAGAACTGCTTTGCCTCAAAAAGGGCTGGATGGTAAGAAGGAGGGCAGCAGCCTTGGACTAAATTGTCGAGTCTACCTTTGCTAGCTGGGAGCCCTCTGAGAGTCACTGAAGAACAGCGAGTTGCATGTTGGTCAGAGGAGGGAAGTATCCTTTTCAGGTGCCTCGTGAGACGGGCGGCGCTATATATGTGCTTTGATGGAACAGTCCTTTTACCTTCAGTGCTTCTCTTATTTCTCTCTCCTCTTATTTCCACTTCTAAACATCTGAGAGCCCCACAAAGACTTCAGACTAAATAAATCTAAAATTGAAATTTATCCTGCCCCCTTTTAAATCTGTTCTTTCTCCTGTCCTCTGTTTCCTGCGTCCACTTTCTCTTCTACCACTCTCCTCCATCTGCGTCTTTATGCAATCCGGCCCTCACAGGGGATGGCAGCTCAGCCTCGTTCCTGGGATGGGACTTGGACATGCAGCTGCTGTGAGGTGCCAGTGCTGCTGAGGTGTGTACAGTGTGTCTTCTCTCCCTTGTGTGTGGGTTCCAAGAGGACAGAGTTGAGAATCTTAATTTGGAGCCTCACTGTCTCTTCTGGGCAACTGCCTGCTAATTGAGTTCTCGGACTGCAGTCCATTCTTAATTCTACCTGTTCTTCTAAAAACCAGTTTGATCCTATCATTTCTCTCCTTAGAAACCTCTCATGATTCTTGAACACTTCTAGATCAGAATCCAAAGCCATTGACACATACAAGATCCTTTATGCCTCAGCCTTCCCTGCCACTCACCCCACCCACCCACAGCCCTCAGCCACACTGCGTTTCGCAGCAGGTTTTAGATTCCTTGTGTCTCATGAAAGCCTTTGCCTTTTTCCATGCGGTTTTCTTTGCCTGCAACACTCTGTTTATTGTCTGGCTCCTTGCTCCCCGCTCTGGTTATTCCTGCTCATTTCCTTTAACATCTCCTTCAAATGTCCATCGTCTGGAGGCTTTGTCTTGATTCCTCGGCTGGAGTGGTTTCCTGTATTCTTGCCAAAACCTTGTACTTACTCTTTTAGGATTAGCTTTTAGGGTGTGCTGTTTTGAAATTGTTTGCACACCTACCTTTCTACTTTTTTCTTCTTTGTACCCAGCTCAGTGTTCAGTTCTCAGGTTTTGGATTTGTTCAGTTGAATGAACATGAATGGACATCCTGTGGATTTTCATCTCTTATTTACCTATTAACCTTAAGAGAAGTGCAACTCATTAACTTGTCAATTGATGGCATATCGATAGGTCATCTGTCTCCAGTCTGGGCTCTTGGCATATTTTATGAAGTAGGGTTAAGAAGCATATTATAGATGGCGTGAACTGTGGTTATTTGCCCTGAAGGTCATTGTTTGCCTTGCTGCATTTTTAAAAAATGCCCATTCATCTTAATTCCTTTCCAGTACAGTCTTCTCGGTACAACCAGGCAAAAATTATGCCTGATGAGTTGTTTTCATCAGAACGTGTTCTCTCTCAGTGGTACTGTGCAACATGAACAAAAGAAAATTTTTAGAAAAATTTTTAAGCAGCCTCGGTATCATGGTTTGAGGGAATATGAGGGGTTTTGTTTATAATTTTAGAAGATACTGTTGTACTTAGAGTAAGTTTATATTGTTCATATCCCATTAGATGTCTCACATAAAAACCATTCTGTACTGTAGGCAGGGAGTATTGATTAGAAGGCTTATGTAATGGGCTGTTATGAGAAAAGGAATACTTCTTGAAAAGGTGTTTGGCACAGAATTGCAGCGCTATTCCTGGGTAGAACTGTTGTGATTTTTCCTTTGAAAATATTACAAAATATATAAAAGGTTGACGTTCTTCTCACGTGTGTGATGTTGGGAATGCAAGGTATATTCAGAAGTAAACATTTATGGCCAATTTTTTTGGCTCAGATTACTATGACATGGAATCCATGGTCCATGCAGACACAAGATCATTTATTCTGAAGAAGCCAAAGCTGTCTGAGGAAATAGTAGTGGCACCAAACCAAGAGTCGGGGATGAAGACTGCAGATACCCTTCGGGTACTTTCAGGACACCTTATGCAGACACGGTAGATGGTTTCTTTTTCTTGTGTAGCTTTTTTGTGTTGATTAGCTAGTGCAGGTTGACCATTCGTTCCCAGCTTCCCTCCTCCCCATCCTTGCCCCCAGTGTAGAGTGCTTTTATTGGGTCAGTCGTTGGGCCATGAATAAATAGTAAGCCAATTCGGTTTTCAGAAATCCAGTTCCTCTTTCTTGTTCAGAAATCTGTTAACTTGCAAAGAAGTCCATGTATGATTGAGCTCTGTAAATAAGATTCTTTCCTTTAAGCACATGCAGGAAATGAAATTTAAAAGTCACGTGATCAAATCAGGAAATCTCTGCACAGAGAATTAGCAGATTGGGTTGGGGTGATTCCTCCCTTAGAAGATGGACTAAATATTCTATGAAGGAACAGATGTACCGATAATAAAATCAGTGTAAATACAGAACTGCTGGCCATGTGATCTGAGCTTAGATGCTGATTTTCCAGTTTATTTCCATGTGACCCTATGGAGATCCAGGTGGAGGGGAGATTTTCCTTAGTGCAGCCTGGAGGGTTGCTGGCGATGCCGACACAGCAACTGGCTGTCGCCATGGTGTGTTGGCGGGAGCCAAGCCGGCCATACCTGGAAGGCCTACCGAGTTTGTGTGTTTGGTTTTTTCCTACTGAAGAGACCACCACCAAGTAAGGGAGCGATAGTTCTGCTGAAGAGCACTGTAGGAGGCTCAGCGTTTTGTGTTTGTTTCCCTAATTCTATGGTATTTTCTATCTGTCTGGCAGAGATCTTGTACAACCAGATAAACCTGCAAGTCCCAAGTTTATAGTGACGCTGGATGGTGTCCCCAGCCCCCCAGGATACATGTCAGATCAAGAGGAGGACATGTGCTTTGAAGGAGTGAAACCTGTAAACCAAACTGCAGCCTCAAACAAGGGACTCAGAGGTCTCCTCCACCCACAGCACTTGCACTTGACGGGCAGGCAGCTCGATGACCCAGATGGTAGCTTTCCAAATGGTGTGTTGAGAGCTCAGATTTTCCCTTTCCAGGGTGCTGTCATTGTGCAGGGAATCTGGGCCCGGTCTCTCTACCTGGAGTGAATTCTGGGTAGAGGCCTTGCTCTTACTCATAATTCAGTAGCGGCCTTTTTTCTTCTCTCAGACAAAATGAGTTCATGTGAGACTGTCGTGCGTGTGTTCTGTATGGGCTCCCGGCTCCCGTGCTATGGTCGGCTTCAGCCCTGAGAGCCAAAGTACCTCGGAACCGTGCTTATGAAAGGCTCAGCCATCGTCCTTCATACCTTGCTTCCTTTTTCCCTTTAGAAAGCACACTTGTTACTTTCCTTTTGTTGTAACAGTAATAGTCTCTTATAATTGGCAGAAAAATGAATTTGCATTTTGATTCTGTTTATACCTCTTTGAAATTCCCTTAAAAGGAGTTTCTCACCTAATCTATCAAGTTACTGCTTGGAAGTTTAGCAAAGCCTTGTGTTTAAATTAAGTAATAGTATTTAGTAGGAACGAGATGAACTCCTCAGATCACAGCCTGCTTTTAGGCAGATGGATCGTTACCACTGGCTGTTCTCTCCCCAGACCTATGGTCAGGTGCACATACTGCTGGACCTTTTCATTCGAGACAAGAGAATGGTAGTCACTTTCCTTGTACCTTGTAAAATGTTGAAAAACACCTTCATTGGGAGGGGAGACGATTACTAAAACTTAAAAAAGAATAGTATCAAAAGAAAAAACAGTAATGCGTTTCGGTATTTTTCCAAGTCAGTCTTGGCAGAGACATGAAGATGCAGTCAGTACCTTTTTCAGTTCCTAAAAATATAATAGCCTTTAGAGGGAGATCGTGAGTGAGTGAGGAGATACTGCTGTTGAGCTGAATACTTTTTAGGCTGAGTTAATAATGTAATGTCCTAGTTTTTTTTGTTGTTGTTTTGTTTTTAAGATGTTATTTATTTATTTATTTATTTGACAGATCACAAGTAGGCAGAGAGGCAGGCGGGGGCGGTGGGGAAGCAGGCTCCCCGATGAGCAGAGAGCCCGATGCGGGGCTCGATCCCAGGACCCTGTGATCATGACCTGAGCCGAAGGCAGAGGCTTAACCCACTGAGCTACCCAGGTGCCCCTAATGTCCTAGTTTTGGTTGGTGGAGGGAATTGAAAGTCTGACCCTATAAAAAGGAAGAAAAAATTTTAAATGGTAACCGAGGTGGTTAAGAATTACCATAGTTATGCAGTACAGATTTCTGACCCTGTATATTTTGTCTCACATGAGAGAAGAAGTTAGGGTCTTACTTTGTTTAAATGTAGATGTCCATATTAGGCTTTATTGGTGTATATGTCCTTGGAGTGCCCCCAGTAAATAACACATTAGACTTCTTGTCTTGGTTTCACAAGTGCCTTAGCCCTTCTGGAGGCCAGGCGGATGAGCGGGGAGCCTCCTGTGCCAGTGCTTTGATCTGGGACTCTCAGCGTTTAGCTGCTGCTCAAGAATGAAGCTTTGTAGTGGTTAGAACGTAAGCGAGGCCCAAGAGACTGAATAACAGTGAAATAACAGTGCAGGTTTATAGCTTGGAATAAAAAGTGAATTTGCCTCATCTTAAAACTTAAACAGGAAAAGTTTTAATGGCTTATGAGGTTATAATGTTGGGGGAAAACCAGAATCAAGACCTCTGTATATATGACCTAACATTTCCATTAGGAAGATAATGTTTCCTTATGAAGTATTTAACTTCTTTAATACTGCCCATGAGTATCTAACTACTTCATTTTCCAGCCAATCTGCTCTTGGGTATTCTGTTAACTTCTTTCATTTGGCGTGGGTTTCCATGTGTATATCATAGTCTAAAGTATGTTCTTTAGGAGGAGGGTAAGACACATTTCCTGCAGGCAGGATATCAGAAAGACTTAAAACTGGAGAAAACTGCATGCAAGGATTTTATTGGAGACTAAGGATGCCTTTATATCCTGGAGCTATTTACTATTTTAAAAGTAGCACAGAAAACTATATATTAGACATAGTTGTGTTTTTTTGTTTTTGTTTTTGTTTTTAATTTTCAAGATTTTATTTGAGAGAGAGAGCATGAGCAGAGGGGAGGGGCAGAGGCAGAAGCAGACTCCCCACTAAGCAGGGAGCCTGATGCAGGGCTCGATCCCCGGACCCTGGGATCATGACATGAGCCGAAGGCAGACACTTAACTGACTGAGCCACCCAGGCGCCCCTGGCATAGTTTTATAGTAGCCCTTTGATGGTCCTCCTGTCTGGGCTCCAGGACTGCATTTGTGTGCCTTGTTCTCCTGTGATGAAGACTGAGGTTGGGTCACTAGATCAGTAAGTTCTCAGAATACCAGCTGCTGCCCTGTTATGTTTTGATTGGTTGCCTACTTTGTATTTTTGTTTCCATTCAATCATAAAACTCTAAGGGAGACATTATTTTCTTTTTGCTTTGATAAGGAAACTGAAGTTGAGGTACTAGGTGAGACTTGTCCAAAGTCTCTAGCTCAGCTAAGTTACAGAGCCAAATTTGAACTGCCTGGTCTCAGGCAAGAGGACTAGAGCAATGTGGTTGAAGTGATACTTGCTTTTGTAATTAGGAATGTGAATCCTAATTTTTAACACCCATGATGCTTGTTTTTTTTTCCTTTTTCTTTCTTTTTTTTTCTTTTTAAGCTAGGATATCTTGGTCCAGAAGTTGGCAGGTCATTATCGCCTTTGGGTGTGAATTTATTTGGCTTTTTTACATTTTTAAATGGGCATTAGTTGCCCGGATTTAAACTCTGTATGTCATATAAAATGGTTTTTTGCTTTCTCTGAATCAGGAAACAATCTGGCAACATGGGGCCCACTTTCCCACACCCTAGTAATTGACATTGTCATTGGACATGACCTTGCGAGGGAGTAGCAGGCAGTGAGCCCTATGGATGATGCATACACTTGCTCTCCTGGTTGCTTTTACCGCCTTTATTTCCCCTCACCAAGGCTGTCGGTCACCAATCATCTCACATCCAGCCAGGCTCACTGATGGGTGATCTAGTGGGTCGCTTTAGGTAATGGCCCATTGTAACCCACTGTAAGCAAAAAACTTTTCCTCATATTGATGTGAGTTTACCACCTGGACTTAACAACAACCTTTGTATACCTCAGTGAGTGCGAACACTTCTGTGTATGTATCACTTAAAATGTCTGAACGTATTTGTTCACATTCTTTGGGTTTTTTTGTTTGTTTTGGTTTTTTAAAGTTTGATTTATTTGAGAGAGTATGCGGAGGGCGAGGAGCAGATGAAGAGGGAGAAATAATCCTTAAGCCAACTCCCTGCTAGGCTTGATTCCAGGACCCCAAGATCATGACCTGAGCCAAAGTTGGATGCTTAACTGACTGAGCCACCCAGGTGCCCTGGTTCATGTTGTTTTTAACCTTGTGTTTGCAGTTTTCATTTCATTTTATTGGTTCCCTACTTGGACATTCTTTCCTCTCTCTCACTTTCTCTCTCATATTTTAATTCATCTCTGAGATAATATTGAGCATTGGAGTTTAGGGTGAGAACTCTGGCTAGTTGCAGCATCTCTCTCTGGTGTGCCTCTCACAGTGAGAACTGCAGTCCCCTTCCTGGTGACCTTTTCTAGCAGACTCTTACCTCCGTTAACTAGAATATTGAACTGTTTTGTATGATTGTGACATAGAAGAACATAAGATTTTAAGACCGGGTTTTGAAGGAAATGTATTAAAGGTGTCACGTACTGAATTGATCATAATTAATGAGATACTTTTAATTTTTTCCCCCTTTTTAGCTGAGATGAGTGAACTGAGTGTGGTCCAGAAACCAGAAAAACTTCTGGAGCGTTGCAAGTACTGGCCTGCCTGTAAAAATGGGGATGAGTGTGCTTACCATCATCCTGTTTCACCGTGCAAGTGAGTAGCTGCAGCAAGCGGATTCTGATCTTTGGGTTAATTTCTGGATCTTAGATCTTACTCTGTTTTTCTTTTCTGTGGACAAGGTTGATTCGTATAACTGAATGCAAGGACACTTCACCATTGCCCTCCCAGAATAGCATCCATGTATAATATATGTGTGTGTGTTTAGAGGAGCAGGGAGAAGGGAGAAGGCTTCTGTACATTTAAGGAGATAGTTCTGTAACTGTGCTGGTTTGAATGCATTGTGTTCATGTCAATATCCACAGCTTCCAAGGCACTGGGGACAAAATTAGTTACAGTTAATGACAACATTTTGAACTTGATGGCATGACCTTTGAGGATAGCTTTTAGATAAAAGCAAAACAAAACTGTGTTTTGACTCCTTTAAGGAAGTTTCGGTGTGAGAATAATATGGATGTGCATGGAGGGAGACCACAGAATGAGTCTTTTTGGAGCAGTGCGTTGCACGTATATTATGCTCAGTAGATTGAGTTCACTTCATAAAGTATTGCAAACATAGATCTAACAGAGGAAATGGTATGATTCCTAACACAAAAAACCCTTTTGTCTTTCAGGGTCATGGTTTGAGTTGAAAATCTGTTATTGCTTTAGACTTCGGAATAGATTACTATGTCCTTTTTTGAAATCTGGCTTCATTTTTTTTTTTTAACTTTTTTTTATTTATTCATTTGAGAAAGGGCAGAGGGAGAGGGAGAAGCAGACTTCCCGCTGAGCAGGGAGCCTGATGCAGCGGTTGATCCTAGGACCCTGGGATCATGAACTGAGCCAAAGGCAGAAGCTTAACTGACTGAGCCACCCAGGCACCCCAAACCTGGCCTCATTTAAAAATTGAGCTTCCCGGGACATCTGTCTGGCTCAGTTGGTAGAGCATGCAATTCTTGATTTCTGGGTTGTGATTTCAAGCCCCAAGTTGGACATAGAGCTTAGTTTAAGAAAAAATTGAGTTTCCCTCTTTTCTGTTCTGTTTCTCAAAACAAGTAGTGATAGAGTGTAAGGAGCCTCTACCAAAAAAAAAAACAAAAAACAAACTAATCATGCACTGAGAAGGATAATGTGAAAACTGTTTTTGTTTTATAGAGCCTTCCCCAATTGTAAATTTGCTGAAAAATGTTTGTTTGTTCATCCAAATTGTAAATATGATGCAAAATGTACTAAGCCAGATTGTCCCTTCACTCATATGAGTAGAAGAATTCCAGTACTGCCTCCAAAACCAGGTTAGTGACATTGTGCACTACTATAGTAGGTAAAAAATGGAAAATATTTTGTGATTATAAACTGTTTTAAAGAAAAAAAAATGTAAGAGTTTTATAAATTATCATGCCAGAATCCATTAACCTAATCAGTCTTTAAAGAGCAAATGTGCCTATTTGGTATCATTCTGAAGTATTTTATCTAATGAACATATAAATCTTCTCATATTTTTAAAATGGTTTTCATAAAAACATCAGTAGATTGCATTACAAATTATTTTGCCAAATTTTGATCAATCTTATTTTTGTCAGCAGTTGCAACACCAGCATCACCTTCTAGTAGTCAACTGTGCCGTTATTTCCCTGCTTGTAAGAAAATGGAATGTCCCTTCTATCATCCAAAAGTAAGAATTTTCATTTTCCCAAAAATGATTTAGTGGGAACTTTTCAATTCTGAGGCCTGTAAAAGCACTAGCAAATTGAGTATCTCATATGTCCATGGTCTTCTCCTGCCCCCTATCCCCCAGTCTCTGTTTTTGTTAATGTTATGGTCTTTAAGACGTTGAGGTTCTTAGTTGTATGAGCCCCCATCTGGTCCTTTAAGAGAAGAGGTCTGAAACAGAGGTTAATATTCTAGGCTCTCGGAGGGAAGCTTCCCTTTGCTTAGTTTCCATTCCACTCTACCCCTAAGTACGTGGGTGGGTTTTTTGTGGGGGGTTTTTCCCCCCACCTCATGTCAGAAACTGAGATGATGAAGTCCAGTAGTACTTCCGCTGATGGCTCTAATTTTCTGTGTGCTGACGATTGACATGTCTCCTCCTGTTTGGTTGGTCAGAGCGAATGCGCGCTCTGGCCATCGCTTCCCCCAGCCGCATCTGGCTGTACGTGAGGGCGTCCGGGGTACGATGGATGGAAGGGATGTTGGGCCAGTGTGCGGGGTGATTAGAAGTTTGTGTTGTATACTGACGTTCCTTTTGAAATCTTTGACTAGAATTTTGTGTTGGAGGGGGGTCATTTGTCAGAGTTTTAGTATGAAAATATCTGTATCTCTTGCCCCATTAAATGTTTCTCTCATGTTGCCCTGTTTTTATTGCTGTTAGCCTTGCAGATGTTGAGATTGTTGTTTGCATTTAGCACTGCAGGTTCAACACTCAGTGTACAAGACCCGACTGCACGTTTTATCATCCCACCATTACTGTGCCGCCACGACATGCCTTGAAATGGATTCGACCTCAAACCAGGTAAAAATTAAAAAAGTCTTTCTAATGGTTTCTTAGATTTGTAAGTCTACAGATCTGGGGGAAATGATCACTTTGGTTTTTCTCACCTGTTTCAATTATACAGGGTCCTTGGAAAATGTTTCCAAATTCCGTTTTACTGGTGATTGCTTGTTCACCTAGGGATCTCCAGATCAGATTTACCTTCTGTATAGATACTGCTTACAAATCTCACGTCCGTTTTTTTGGCATCAGTAATGTAAATCATTGGAAGAGAGTTTCAGAAAGCTTTAGTATGGCCTATAAATTTAAATACATGCCATTATTATCTTTTATGTAGCTTTTATATAATTTTGTAAAAATCTGGTATTTACATATTGTACATCTGTAGAACAAATATTGTGTGAAAATACTCCTTAGCTGGGTATGTATGAACATAAAGCAGTTAATTAAAATTTTTTGTTTACTCAGTGAATGACTGTCCTACTTGGCAGAAGACTGGAATTTCCATCTACTGGTGAAAATATTCTGCAAAACTTGTCAAACCTTTGAAACTTGGAATATATTGCTTTCATAATATGAAGTTTATTGCCTATCTGAAGTGTCTAATTTTTCAAGTTTGTAAGTTTATTAAGTGGTTTTAACATCGGGTGTTATTTGACTGTGGAAAGACCGTTTAAGGAAAAGCTAAATTCTATTAAAACATTTGAGGCGTGTTTGCACACTGCTATTTCAAGTATCAGCATTTACCCCGTGGTGATAGTGTCCGTACTGGGGCTACAGTGTTGCTCTGTGTTGAGTGAGAGGAGCATCCTTATTCTAAAAATTTGGATTTTATTCCCTTTTCCCAAGGATTATCCATTGTGAAAACAGAGTGGCAGCCCAAAGTGTGGAGGCAGCTTAAAATAGTCATTCAGTCCTACTTTTTAATTTTAAGTGAATTTAGTTTGAAAGCGTGATCATACAGGTGTCTTGGGTTGAGTGCTGCTTTAGTGGATGGTTCTTGCCATCTGGGATAGGTTGGGTTGGGTAAAAACGGAATGACAAATGCAAAAAAGAACAGTTCCTTAAAATGCTTTCATTTACTATTAACATACACTTTTTAAATAAATATTTTGGGGCTGCATTATCACAAAATTATACAAAAATTTTTTTTTACAATGCTATATACAGAAGGTATCAGAAAACAGACTTGAACTCACAAGATTATTATAACTGTACATATATCTCACATTCTGAAAAATAATTTTCAGAACCACAGAAAATTTTTAAAATGTAAAAATTAGATTTAAATAGTATATTTTAAATGACTAATTACAGAACTCTGATGGGTAAACCGCAAAACAGGACTAAACTTTTGGACTACTGAGTCAATACATAGTCTTCTGTGTGTGATTTTTGAAATAGTTAAGGCAAAAGTGTCAGATGCTTTAGAATTAAATAACCAATGGATCACTGATCTTAAGGACTTGATGTACAGCAGTTTTTAAAAAAATAAGCTAGAAGTTGGTTAGGACAGATCGAATTAATGCAAAAGAGATAAAGACTCAAACATTCTCATGACCAAATTAACTGTGAAAAAAAAAGTTCATCGACTTGTTATCTGTCTGAGGGATAACAACGTGTAAAAAAAGTCCATGTTTAAGAGCATATAAACGAGCAGTTGTTTTTGTGGTCATTGCTTTTCCACTGGGAGAAGAAAGAATTAACCAGTTATTAAACCATCTATAAGTTGCACTTTGCTGTGCCAGTTCCTAAGAAAAAACTTGAAACATTGGAAGAGGAAAGACAGTGCACAGGAGAACACAGAGCTCTCACAAAGTTAGGCTGGGGCAAAATGACCATTCTGCTTCATTCTAAAAAGTGGACTCCTCTGAATTTAAGGCATTTGTTCATTCCAGTGCTACTTAAATTTCTTCTACAAAGAAGTAAAGCATCTTAAGTTGTATTTCTAGAAATTTAGACTTCTAGTATCACTATAAATGACATTCATAATTCCACCACAAAGAACATAAATGGGAAATGGGGCCTAAATGGTTTGGTTCAGCCATTTTACAAGTCAGTTACATGCTGAAGTCAGATATTTTTTGCCATTTAATAAACACTGCCTGGAAACACATTTAAGAGTTCAGTGTTACCTTTTAGCTGCTATGGTTTATGGGCAAGCTAAGGTTAACTCTAGACCAAGTTATCCAACAAATTTTTAAAATGAACCACCATCAAAAGGCATTGCAACGAGGGAGGGAAACAAGGTGGCTAGCAGGTGTGGCGCACTCTTGTCACATATTTCTGTACAAAAACAGGACTTGAAGGGGCCAGAGCCTCAGGTGACAAATTCAGGAGCTTAAAATACTACACACGAAAGTAATTCTCTGTGTCAAAATCTTCATAACCTGTCATGGTTATTCATCTTCCCTTAGCTGATGGCTGGAAAAAACAAGGTGGGTGGCGGGAGAACTACTTAAAATCAATGTGAGTTTTAGTCGCGAAACTGACCAGACATTAAGGCTGGCTACTCGGAGGAATTCAGCAGAGGCATTTTTGTCCTATATCATTTACCTAAGGTTGTAATTAGTGTTTCTACATGTACTGTAATAGAAATGGAATTTCTCTTTAGCCAAAAGCTGGGAAGCTTTGGCTCAGAAGGAAAATTGAAACTGCAACAGGCTCAAAGGTGGAGGGGGTGAGTGGGAGTGGTGGTTCAGGGGAATTTCTTTACTTTATTGAATGGCTCTTTATAATATACATGAATAGACATTTAATATTAGTATATTCTAAAATTGGGCTTAATTTAGGAGAATCCATTGATGTGAATATGATATGTATCAAGCTTCTTAATGCCTTAATCAGTCTTCAGACACAACTACTATTCAGAGCTTTAAAACTGACCACGTTCAGTCACTGGTTAGGCTTTCGTGATACAGTTCAGCCATTTTCTGTTTTCAGTATTTACAAGATGTTGGGCATAAAAAATAGGTATCAGGAGTCTTCACGTCGGGTTGAACCAGACTAAGATTTCCAGAAACCTGCGAGGGGTCTGTTATGCTATAGAGCTAATTAACACGTTGAAATAAAAATTCATACGACCAGTAGAGCATCTTAAATTTTTTCACACTTAGAAAAATAGATTTTTAAGTAGTAATCTACATAATCTCCCATCTTTAGGAAACTACGGACAGGCTAAACAGCAAATTCCTGACGGCAGGTACTGATCTTTGGCAGCATTAAAGTGAATAGGGATAAATATCTAAGAGTTAAGCCCTAATCCACCAAAAAGGAACTTTAATGGACACGTTTTACAAGTGGACCTGTATTCATTCCTTTTGGAAGTCAGCCTAATGGGGTGGCATACATCTAATGAATAACTTTTCCAGTAGAAAAAAAAGCTATAAAAATTTTATTTCAAGAGCTACTGAATTATTTAGCTTTGTAAATGTGACCTTGAACACTTCAGTCTACATGTTAAACAAGTGTTTCTATTACACTACATCTTTAAATATTCAGTATGCTCTCCCGGTTAAATACTATTGCTGTCTAAAACTTGAACCTGTACACCACTGGAAAGGACTCTTCGTCATACTACTTTTTCAATCATGAGGCTATAATCATGTTTTAATTTTTCAGTTATAGAGATGACTTCTGAAAAGGATCAACAGCTCAAAAATGAAAATGTAGTTATCATATACTATTAACTTGGGATTTGTTCCTGAATGTGAAACTGCCAGGGAAAAATATGTCATTTATTAAAAAAGAGGTTTATCGATGCTTAAGTAGCATTATCTTCTCCAGTAAAGCTTGTGTGTGTTTCATTAGGGAAAATAATGTTTGCCGTTTAAAAACTGTGATCCTTTAGGGTGATGGTGTGTTTCCTTTCCTTATGTAAACACAAGGATAAAATAAGTCATTAAATAATGAACCTTGAAAATAAAATGTAAATCCTAAAAAAGAAAAACAGTTTTGCTAAAGAGAGGATGAAAATTAAGTAACTTGGGTTTTTAAGGTTTTGTTTTCTGAAAGGTGCTGTCCCCTAAGCCTCCCTAGCAGGTCTGCCAAGTTTGCACACTCCCCCAGAATGGGGGGCTGCCTTTCACCAAGTCTTTATTCAGTCCTTTCGTAAAGTAATTGTCTGGCAGTGTATGGATTATGGACAGTTATCCAGTGCATACAGCAAATATTTTGAATTTATCGGTCTTCTGTTTGGATGACTCTGGGCATTTATCCCTGTTACAATCCTAAATTAGCACCACTTGCCCATGCAAGGTTTGGTTCTGTTTTTGTTTTGTTTTTTTTTTTTGTTTTTTCTCTTCTGTAATTCTGGTCTCTCAAGGCTGTTAATTTATATAGAGTCTTCTCGGCATCCATATCTTTCAGTGAGGCATATGTACACATTTCCAGACAAATAAACTGCAGTCAGGAAAGGAAAAAAAAAAAAGGTGGTGAGTTCATTATGTTTCTAGATTTTCAGAAGTTTAAGGAGCTTCCAAATCATAAATATATACAATATTTCATTAACTCCTTTTATTTCATATTACCATTGTATGAGCCTCCATTGAGCTGGCCAGTTATGCTCCCTTTCTATGTTGTTGGCTTGCAGAGTCTGTCACCTGATAGATGATACTAGATCTCTTAAGAACTAGTAAGATAGCCTGTTCTTCTTGGGCTGAGAAAGTTACTCACCTGCAGTCGTCACCTCCAGCACTAACAACATGTCGATCACCGCTGGTAAATCGAATATTTGTCACATGAGGTGAATGACCGAAGAACCTTTTGTGCTTTGCCTGAAAAACAACGAGAAAGCTCAGGATGTTGGGACCCTAGGTCTCTGTCATGGGCTGTGAAGAGAGGTAGGCAGTTTGGGCCATAGCCAGCATTACTAATGTTAGTTAATGGATCGGCACCGAATTTGGGCAGTCAGAGGTCTCCAGGCACTCTGAACATTTTCCTCGTAGGAAAAGCATTTGAAACTTCGTAACCGAGTAAAGGTTTGATAAAAAGGCTAATCACAGCTTTATTAGGATAGTTTGCAAAGATGGTGTTACTTGGCATGGGGAGATGATTTTTAAAAGCTTTTACTTCAGAGTAAGGGATTTAGGAAGTTTTGAAAAGATTTTAGGAACATAAATGTTTCCAAATCAGAAGACGGTAACATATTTAGGTATTACATTATGGGGGAAGAAGTACTAATGATCAGATATCTAAACTAGTTAAAGCTACGTAAAAAAACAAAACCAAACAAAAACTTACAAATTTTTCAGGACACGGGAAGTCAAATAACTTAACCATGCCAAAGTCATCTCCTGTTACAAGGCTGATTCCTGAATGAGATACGCAGGCACAGTTGACATTGGCTTTCTCAGTGTGTCTGGACCAGATTCCCATAACTTCATCCCCTAGAATACTAGAGGGAAGGAATTAAAGAAAATCCACCATAGCAAACAGATGTACCACACTGAAAAGGTTTTTTGTTAATTAATCCCTACTTAATTATGTTACTTTAAAATTAAAAGAGGCTTATGCTTTAGGAATTTGATGGATTAAAAAAGATGACTACTCATGGTTACCTGTTAAACAACAAATTTATAAGGTTCCATTTCTAATAACTGCAAGATAGCACTCCTTTAGATAAGTAATGCAACTGCTTAATAGTACCCAGTATGTGGTTTTATTGCTTGTTATTAAACCAACTATGTTAAAGAAAACTATCAGGGCCTCTTTAAAGGCTTTTAACTTTGATAAAGCATGGGACTGTGTTCAGTGAATAGAAGTTCCAGCATAAACCTGTCGTCATCCTCTTAGGAAGAATTCAAGATACGGTAACAAACCTAAAACTCAACTACTGTTCCCTAGTGGAATGGCTCTGACTGATGAGCAATAGGATTTCCCAGTTTCCCTGGCTGACCTTCGGTCAGTTCTTACCTAGTCCACGTAGCCCAAGTGATCCTATCCATGGTGGCCTGATCCGTAACAGGTTTTCCTGAAGGCACTTCATAAACATGTCGTTTATAGCAACCAGTGGAGACCTTGTATCATGTTAAAATGGGACAAGAATTCCCTTATGTGAGAGACACATCAGAAGGCTATAGGATAACTGGCAAAGTGTGCTGTTTGATTTATATTTCTAACATTATAACATTAACCATGACTACAAAAGCCCGTTAGAAAAAATGGAGAAGAGGACTAGAAAGAATAGGATATTAATGCAGAAACCGTGAAGCGTAAATAAAGGCAAGAGTTCAGAAGCTCTGGAACTCAGGAGTTTTTCAGAAAGTTATCGGCCAGTGTGGGGCTCGAACTCACAGCTCCGAGATTTAAGAGCCAAAGGCTCTGCTGACTGAGCCAGCCAGGCATCCCTAAAACTCATTTGTAAATGCGTCCACTAACAGTATTAGACAGCTTGTGTAAACTGGCTTTTCTGTTACTGGTACCATACCTGGAGATACCTGCTATCTGCAGAGAAGTCCATTTGAATGACAAAGCTGGGAATGTCCCTGCAGTAGCTGATTCTGGTAAGGGTGGGACCCAGTGTTAGGTCATAAAAATCCACGGAGTTCTCACTAGAGCCCACTGCCAGAAACCGGGAATCTGGACTAAATCTGGAGAGGTGATAAAACACGTGAAAGACGCATTAGACCACATTAAATCCCATAAACATTTAAAACCAGTGACTTGCTTTCTACCTCTCAAAAACAAGTATGTGTGTGATCTGGCCTCAAGTAGATTAACCCAAAGATACAGGATTTACTCAAAATACAACTGATTGTGTACATTGAGATTTTGTGTGTGTTACATGAAATAGCTTACACTTTATTACAGTTTTAAGTGGCTCCTGATTCTTCATCTGATTCCTTTAAAAAGATCTAAGTTTTGAAAAAGCCACTAACATATACATAACTCTTTCAGCTATATAATACACCAAATTTACCAAGATAGGATTCCTTCATCTGGAAACAGACCAGATTAATTTGCCTCAGGTGACAGATGAAGTGACACTACCTGAAGTTTAGGAGTTATCTTAAAAGACAAACACGTGCCTAGTGGGCATGGGAAATAGCATGGGACAATTCAGTTGAGGTTCTTTAGGAAAATGGGCCTGCAGGAAGTTTATATATTGAAATTCTGAGGAAGGTTTCATGTGTAAAAGGGTTTTACTAATGAAAAGAATACAAGCTTTTAACAACTGGATTCAAAAATCTTGATCACACAGAAGTACTCAGTAAATGGTAGCCATTGTCAAAATAAGCTTACACACTGGAATGTAAACATTCAAGAATTCAGAGTCTGGGGCATAGGTGTTTGAGGAGTATTAAATTTTTTTAAAATATTTTATTCATTTGAGAGGGGAGCAGCAGAGGAACAGGGAGAAGCAGACTTCCCACTGAGCAGGGAGCCCACCAAGGGGCTTGGTCCCAGGACCGAGATAGTGACTTGAGCAGAAATCAGGCGCTCAACTAACTGAGCCACCCAGGTACCTTGACGAGTACTCATTAACTGAGCGACTATGTATTCCATTGAGATGTGCAGTTACGACTTTAATTATCCAGGTTGACAACTTACAAAGGACAGATGGCTCTCTTCTGTACAGTGGAACATAATTCTTGGATGAATCAACTTGCTGGACACATCCAGTGTGATACTAACTCGTCAAACATTCCCCAAGTACATGCCGTTATAAGGCACCATGGTTGGTGCCAATGGATAGGTAATGCAGCAAGCAGTAAATAAGCATACAAACAGCCACATTCCAGCATACAGTGTAGGATGTCATTAAATGCTATAGGCACCAAGAACCTGTTTCCAAGTGTAACCTGGGTCATTTAAGAATGTATATACTAAAAATTCTATTCCACTTGTTGACTAACCTGATATCATGGACTGCACATCGTCTGTCTCTCTTCTTTCCCCATATTTTTAGGGAGCTCACCAGTAAAATAATAAATTCTCCATTTTTCATTCCAATAGCCACCATATCCCCTTCAGGGCTGTAACACACGGTACGGGCAGCATGTCCCAAATTCACTTTGTTTAACATCTTCTGCATAAGAACCAAGAGCCATAGAGAACTACATTAAATAGAGTACTTATAAAGTAAACCAATTTCTTTTCAAAATTCTTAATTCTCAAATAGTTATTTAAGTGCTAGCAATTTAGGACTTAACACTGTCCTTAGAAATTCTAACTTTAAGAAAGAAAACTGTACCTACTTTATCAGCAATATCCCAGAGTCTCACTGTCCCATCTTCCGCAGCAGAAAGGAAAAAATCCCGGGAAGGATGTGTCACCAGTCCCCATATGGGTCCGTCCACATGGCCATTAACTAGAATATTACATGCTGCATTTTTCTCTCCAACTTCGATGATCTCTGCGTTTCTTGTCCCAACTAGGATCTTGCCCTAAAACACAAATGGGACCAATACATTTAATGTACTAAAACAGTTGCTTTCAATAACTTAAGAAGGACCCTACTGACCTCCTTTCAGAGAACTTTTCTGCTGTGACTGCTCTAGGAGCAAGCCAGGCCTTAGCTCCTGCGGTTTCCTTTGACTAGAGGCACACCTGCAGGAGCACCGGGCTGGGCTGCCTGGCAGAATCCGTGCAAAAGAACACAACTGTGCTCTAGTATCCCAGGACCTGGCTTTGCCAGTCAGAGTTTGAACTTGGCCTCTATTTTAAGCTGATTTCCAAGGAGGTGTAAGTGCACTGGGATACAGGAAGGAAGTACTAGATTTTAGTTAAGAGGGAAGTATAAATAAAGGTAAGTTTAGTGGTATATATACACAATGGAATACTATGCAGCCATCAAAAATGAAATCTTGCCATTTGCAACAGTGTAGATGGAACTAGAGGGTATTGTGCTGAGTGAAATAAGTCAATCAGAGAAAGGTTTGCGGGGTAGGGAGGGAAAAAATGTAACAAGATGGGATCAGGAGGGAGACAAACCGTAAGAGACTCCTAATCTCAGGAAACAAACTGAAAGTTTGCTGGGGGGAGGGGGGAGTAGGGAGAGGGTGGTTGGGTTATGGACACTGGGGAAGGTATGTGATATGGGGAGTGCTGTGAAATATGTAAGCCTGACGATTCACAGACCTGTACCCCTGGGGCTAATAATACATTATAAATTAATAGAAATTTTTAAAAGGTAAGTTTAACCAATGGATACATGGACTGAGAATAACACGTGTAGGACTTATAAATAGACTCACTACAAGTTCATGCACGGTCAACATTTTTTATGGTAATGGGTATTTTAAAAAAGCAAACATGGGGCACCTGGGTGGCTTAGTTGGTAGAGTGAGCGACTCAATGTTGGGGTCATGAGTTTAAGCCCACGTTGCAGGGGAGAGTACTTAAAAAAAAAAAATTTAAAAACTGCTCTAATCAAAATGCGTTGACTGGCAAGAAATTCCACTTCTGCCTGCCACAGCTGAACTAGTGGATTGAAGAACACACGGAGACTGGCCGAGAGTACCGAGAAGAGCGCCCCCGCCCCGTCCTCTGGCTGGCCTGGCGCCGGAAGCAGGGGAGGCAGGGGAGGGCCGACCAGCAAACTCCTCTCTTCTATCACTCATCAAGTTCCAGAGGGTGAGAGAACCCCACGAATAACTGTCCTCTACTTTCTGCTGCACCGTAATGGCTCAAGGAACATCTTTCTTACTTTGCCTCTGCACACAGAACGAACACAGTCCGTGACTTGTCCGGTCTCGAGCCTGAAGGCGCGGCATCGCCTCAGCTCCTGATCCCACAGTTTGACTGCGCCGCCTTCTTTCGACCTAGTAGCAACCCAAACCAAAATAAGCATTTATTAGCTGTTCCAAATAATTTTTGAAACAAATACGTTTTATAAGCAGAATAGAAACAAATTGTAAGCAGACTAGGGGAGAAAAGGCCCCAATATTAACTTTTTACAGCAATTTTAAGATACACGGTACCTCATTCAGTTTAAACTGATTTTACTTCATTTTTCTGACATAAGCATAATCTTACTTAGATCCCACCCCCTACATAATGTATTCTCTTGATTAAGGAAATGTGTAAAATAATGTGTGATGTTAAAATGATCATGAAAATGTAAGGCCAGATGATAAGATGACAGGTGCTGTGCTGTAGAAATTTTTAATGGCCAAAAGGTAAGCACCTTTCCTCCCATGATGAAACCACCCAACTCAGCGGCTGCCCACGAGCAGAGGTGTGCAGACTGTGTGGCGTGTGGGAAGCCCCAGCATCAGAGTAATATGGAAAAGACAGAATATAGCCCATTTATGGTTTTTTCATTTGGGAATCTGAAGAATGTAAAATTTTATTTTCTGTGAGATGAACTGCTTGTCTTGGGACAAAAACATGCCCGTGTACTATAATGGTCTCCTTCATGTGAAAGACAAAAGCTACCGCATTTGTGCTTCATACCCGTAAGGCTTCTCTCAATCCTTTCTGGAAATGTACTGCTTGGACGCATAAACACTGCATTTTCACGTGAATATGTCGGCAGAAAATCAATTCTAAGTATCTGGCTTCTGGGAGGTTTTCAAAGCACTCAGAAAAAGGCCTTTCCTTAGACTTAAATTTTTGAAGCCCTGTATGATGTAATTTTATGTCACAAGTTTGCCTCAAGGAGAAGCAAACAAGGCAGTTTGTCTCCAGCAACCTCTCATCCTCTGCTGAGACAGCAAGTGTCCGTCCGGACCAAGAAGGGAGCAGGCGGTCCAGGTGCATCCTGGGTGTGAGGGCAGAGATTCTCCCACGGGTCCCCTCTGACCTAGCAAATGTGTACACGGGACACAGACATGACGAAAATCAGTTCTGTGTGTGCCTCACTACTACCTCAAAAATTCTCACCCTGATTACTGCGGTCTAGGCTTCTCTATAGTATGAAAAACAATTGCAAGTGACTTTAAAGACCAGCACTTAAGAGTCAACAAGAAGGCACATCAGAGGCAATAAGAGTGAAGCACAGGAGGAAATGCAGAGGGGATATTCTAGAAAGAACTAGAATAATGAACTGCAAACCACAGGCCAAGCCCAATACACAGACACACAGTGAGGCCATGCACAGGAGAAGGACTCACGGCCTTTCCTTGCCGCCGGTCACAATAAGGCCGTCCCGCAGCGTGGTGTACATGGCAAACACAGGCCCGTTGTGAGCTCTGGCCACGATTCTACACAAAATGTGATCTTTCCACACACAGACATCTCCACTGATAGTACCTGTAAACGTCAAGTTATTCTGAAAAGGAGTGGGGAAGGGGGAGATAAACTCATCAAAAGTTCAAATAGAGCTGAAACACACAATTCTCTACTATAAGTGTGGCCTCCCTCCCACTTGGCCCAGCGGGTGTTTGGGGGAAAGCCATGGGCAGGGACCAGAAATCCCTAATGGCTTTGTCACGGCCTGCTGTGCGGCTCTGCTGCACGCTCACTGGACTGACCTCCGAAAGATTGTAACCTCTAGGAGGAACCACTTTTTCACGTGTAAAATGAGGGAGTTCAGGCTCCAGAGTCCTGTCCGTTTCTAAAATATCATTCTGGTTTATATCATCCCTTCGGGCTGCTTCCTTTCAGTTGCCCGAGAAATAACTTGAGGTCATTAGTCACTGAGAGTAAAAGAAAAGTAGGAACAGGACGTGAAAGTAACTTTTCACTAGGTTGGTATTTTATCACGGAAAGTAAAACTATGTATAGAATTCATGAATAGGACAAAGCTGTGGGAATTTTTAAGCTTCACTAATTCATGAAGTTTTATATGAAATTAATGTTTGCCATGGCGTCTTAAAATAGCAAAGTCAATGTGATACAAAATAAGATAAATTTGATAAGGTGCCAAAAGTAATAGGGCTTTAGATCACTCTGAAGATTGCAGTCCTACTTCCTTTATGTGAAGACGAGAAATTCTGTATCCTGTGCTATTTTCATCCGTTTTAGCTTCACTGTTGGAGCCAATGGCACCAGATCTTTCACCAGAAACAATATGGAAAGAACCGATAGGAAAATTAATTTTGAATTACAACAAAACAAAGGTTTTCTTTAATCTGAGAATACTATATGGTTGGTATATTAATTTCCCTACAACAATTTTTTTTTAAGTCCTCTCTACCCTCAACATGCAGCTCGAACTCCTGACTGGGGGGATCAAGAGTCGCCCGCTCCAGGGACTGAGCCAGCTAGGCGCCGCCCCATCAACGATTTAATGTGACTCCGAATTCCTCAGCATTTACGCATCTTCTCTGTGCCTTATATTTAGATAACAATAATTACATTTGTCATCTAGAAGCATCATGAATCCCTGCCTTACCTGCAACTAGAATGTGAATGCTTCAGGTATAGAAACCAGTATTTTACCTCCCTTGCTTTTAGCCCCTTGGCAAAGAGGATGTGCAAAAAGAGCCTAAACTGGACATAAACCCATCTCGCTATGTAACAAAACACCCTGATCGTTCTGTTGCTTCAAACCTCCATCAATTATGACTAACATTTTAGTCTTCAAGTTTATCTTCTGTCGGGCACAGGCAACTGGCTACATAAGAAATTTTATCCAGGAAGAAAATTAATCTACACGGACATATTAAATGCCAGAAGCATATGAATGTGTGATTTTTTTCTGCTAGATAATGATTACTGGTCTTACGTAATGAAGGCCCAAAATGTTCAACGGAAATCTGACATGGTACAACCACATTTACAACGGTCTTTTTCTCGAAAACATGTGCTTAAAGTTTCTAAAAGTATAATTTTCTTCACATTACATACCCACATAAACATGTTAGTAAGGAAATCCACTTAGGTTTTCAATGCACGGAAGGATTTAAAAAGCCTGGGCAGGGTACCGAGTATTAAAGGAAAGCTGTGGACTGTGATCGTCAGCCCAGATGGGATGGGGGAGGGGCGGGATAGGCTCTCTAGAACACTCTGTGCAGGCCAGGAGTTGTGCTCTCCTTCCTCCTCCTCTCAGCTGAGTGAGTGGAGCGAGCAGCACTGGCCCAGCGCACTTCCAACTATGTGCTAAGCAGTGACTTACGATGATAGAAAGCAAAGGAAATCCTAAACCCCATCACCACCTTAAACAGTAGAAAATCACATTTCCTGATTCATCTTTCTGTATTCTGACCAATCTTTAGGATTATGAGGAACAACTAGGAGGATAGAAATTTTAGGAGTTTTAGGGTGACAATGACAAAATTATTGAAAGCTTTTAAGAATGGCAGTGGCCTCAGGACTCAAATGTTGTATTATAATCCTTCACCCTCATTAATTTTCTTTCCCACTGTCTCATTTCTGAAAGTATCAGACTCTGAAAGGGGAAATGTATGCATGACCAGGACATAGGTAATGATTAGTGGGTCACAATGCCATAGAAGGTTATGGTGGCTTATCTATTTAAAATAACAAAATTGAAAGTAGGGATGCCTGGTTAGTTCAGTCGGTTAAGCGGCTGCCTTCGGCTCTGGTCCTGATCCCTGGGATTGAGTCCCATATGGGGCTACTTGCTTGACAAGGAGCCTGCTTCTCCCTCTGCCACTCTGCCTGCCTGTGCTCACTCGCTCGCTCTGACAAATAAGTAAAATATTAAAAAAGGAAAAAGAAAATTGGAAGTAGTCCAATTTCTGTAATTCTGAGATACGCTAGCACATGCATTTTAAGAGACATACTGCACCAAATGCAACAGCAAGCATGGTCTGCATCCGGGCATCTTCCACTGTGCTCAGGAGCCCTTTTTTGCTAAGAAGAGCCCTTCCTGCCAGTGTCCAGAACTTCACGTGTTTGACTCCCACAGAGACAAACTGGGAATCTGAATCTGGTCGGAATTCAGCCACAAAAATACGTTGGTTGTGACCAGCTCTGCTGGCAATTTTGGTACCTGATTGGGACAACAAAATTAACGAGGTTAGTATAAGATGCCAATTTTTACACAATCAGTTGTTCAAAATATATAGCTCAAAAAACAAATACTTATGAGGCAGCATGCCCCTTGCACAGCTACCTAGCAATCACAGGACCTGTGGAAAGAGTCCTTCTGACGGAGTTTCTCAAGGGGTATGTGTATTAACGGGAGCTTTATTATCACTGAAGGCCCATGCCAGATTTTAGAAATTACAGCTTACTTTCTTCTGTGTGGCTCTGTGAACTTCGCTTTTTATAGCAGCTAGACATAAGCTATAGAAAAGTTTTGTCTAAAGTATAAGTAATATTACCCTTTTGATGGTCATTGTCACAATATACTTCGTTTCCATCCTTGACTAAGGCCCTCCATAACCAACCAAATAATAATTGCAAAGAGACTCAGATATGGTTTCTTAGTGAAAGGAAAGAGCAGTGAATCATATATAGTAGTAATAACTTTCATTGATGTATGTTTTGTGAGCTGCTTTCACTGAGTTTTCTAAGTGGAACATACCAAAAGTAGCATCAGCTGTGTACTGTAGAGGCTAAAATAAAAAATGGTTTCATCACTAAGGTAAGGCAAATGCTAGAGAATTCATATTACCCTAGTATACTTATTGTTTTTGTAAATTACAAAAGGAAAAAGAACCCTACCTTCCTGCCATCTCCAGATAGTAACTGTGTGTTCTGGGTCCAGCCCCACAGACAGCAATAGCTTTCCAGTAGCACTGAAGCTGACTGAACACACCCCCTTTGAATGGTAGCATCTCAGTATAGATAAAGTCTGCTTGTTCACTGCATCCCAGATGTGGATGGAAGGAGCTGTAGCTAAATAAAGATAAAATCCAAAAGTTATAATATGCCTACTGCAAATGTTTCCATTTCGATAGCTGATGCGTACTTTCTGAAACATGGAAAAGTATGGGCCAAAGTAAGACTGTGTACTTAATAAAAAATAGCTCAAAACTAATACTAAATTCAAAAAAAAGAAACACTCATAAATACAAAGAGCTGATGGTTGCCAGAGGGGAGGGTGGTGAGGGATGGACAAGCTGGAGGAGAGGGAGTGGGAGACACGAGGTAGCAGAACCGTGACGGCATTGCACGTGCGGTCACAGATCACAGCCACGCTCATGGCGAGTGCAGAAGAACGCACACACTTGACCAGACGTGACACTGGACACCTGAAACTCACCTAACATTGTGTGTCAACTATACCTCAGTTAAGAAATTGTAATAAAAGAGAAAAGGAAAGAAGAAGGAAAAGAAAAAATGCAAAATACTTCTTCAGGCAATAGTTCAAATTGCATTTTTGAGAAAATAACATTTAGACAAAATTAGGCAATCACAAGCTTTAAACTAGTCAAAAATAATGCATGTTTTAGATATTGTTAAATTTTTAAAAAATATTTTGCTTAGTTATTTGACGGGGCGGGGTGGGGGGTGGGGAGCATGGGGGCACAAGCAGGGGGAGCTGGATAGGGAGAAGCAGGCTCCCTGTGGAGCAGAGAGCCTGATGCAGGGCTCTATGTGGGGCTCAATCCCAGGACCCTGGGACCATGACCTAAGCAGAAGGCAAACGCTTAACAGACTTGAGCCACCCAGGCACCCCTAGATATGTGTTAAACCTTTACATAATTATGTGGAGAAATATACAAATATTGTACAATAATTAAATATCACATTATATTCAGTTATCTGAATGCTATCTTTGTTACTATTAGTTACTAATGCTATTCAATATCATGTTATCTGAAGGAGAGATGAAAAAGCAAGCATAAATTGAGAAAGGCAACTGACTAGATCTCAAAACAAATTTTCAGCCATATAGACAGATATTTGGTAAAAAGCTAAGTTCATATTATTTTATAAGACAGTGTAGTTTTTCTAAATAGGATTTCAGGATAGAAATAAAAATGCTTATTTTTTATTTTTCATGATTTTTTTTAAATTAAAAAAATTTTTTTTTAGTAGACTCTACACCCAATATGGGGCTTGAACTCATGACCCCAAGATCAAGAATCACATATTCTACTGACTAAGCAAGCCAGGCACCCTTCTCAAAAAACTTTTTTTTTTTTTTAAGATTTTATTTATTTACTTGACAGAGATCACAAGTAGGCAGAGAGGCAGGCAGAGAGAGAGAGGAGGAAACAGGCTCCCTGCAGAGCAGAAAGCCCGATGCAGGGCTCGATCCCAGGACCCCAGGATTATGACCTAAGATGAAGGCAGAGGCTTTAACCCGCTGAGCCACCCAGGCGCCCCTAAACAAAGATTTTAAGTAATCTCTACACCCAACATAGGATGTGAACTCAAAACTCTGAGATCAAGTGTCGCATGCTCCACCAGGCACCCCAAAACTACTAATCTTTCAAAAAATTATATCTGTTGTTATTTATCCTGTGTACCCATTTGTGCTGTTTAAAAATTTTTTCCCAGCTCTTTGTATTTTCAAAGTCAAAAAGTCAGGGCTCTGTATTTTCTTCATGAACTGTAGCCTACAAAAATGAATAGGTAAGTCAATTCGGCAGCTAATTCAGTTCCAGAACATAAGTACTTATATATTTTTTAAAGATTTTATTCATTTATGTGAGAGAGAGAGAAAGCACAGAAGGAGTGCGAGAAGCAGACTCCCTGCTGAACAGAGAGCCTGACACAGGGCTTGACTGCAGGACCCCAGGATCATGACCTGAGCTGAAGGCAGTTAACTGACATCCACCCAGGTGCCCCAGAACACAAGTACTTTTAGTAAAATAAGCCAAATACTAAAGTGCATTTGTTTCAAATTATATATCTGCTTGTGTTATTGTAAAAATAGAGACATTTCAGTTTCCAAAGAAAACATTCTGATAAATTTAGACTGTATCATATACCATTTACAATTTATAGTATACAGTTACAAACCTGACAGGTTTTCAAAGTAATTAAAATTAACCCAGGAATCTAAGATCACTAAATAAAAATTGTTCAAAGATTTATGCAACTGTAAGTAATCAAGACTGCAGACTTGGGTGCCTGGGTGGCTCAGTGGGTTAAAACCTCTGCCTTTGGCTCAGGTCATGATCCCAGAGTCCTGGGATCGAGCCCCGAATCGGGCTCTCTGCTCAGCGGGGAGCCTGCTTCTCCCTCTTTCTCTCTCTGCCTGCCTCTCTGCCTACTTGTGATCTCTCTGTCAAACAAATAAATAAAATCTTAAAAAAAAAAAAACAACAAAACAAAACTGCAGACTTTAAAGTGTACCATATAGGGGCACCTGGTGGCTCAATCAGTTAAGTATCCGGTTCTTGATTTCAGCTTCGGTCATGATCTCAGGGTCATGCAGTTGAACCTGTACCAGGCTCCACACTCAGCGCAGAGTCAGTTTGGAACCCTCTCCCTTCAGCCCTCCCCCTGCTTGTGCACGTGCATTCCTCTCTCAAATAAACTAAAGAACAGTTTACCATGTAATAAAATAGGGTATTTATGTGTGAAAAACTGAACATAATAAACTTAAGTACTGGACTAAAACTAGAATGTTCTTATTCAGTAGAAGTCAATGGATATGAAGGACGGGCAAACTTAAGTATAGCAGCATCAATAGGAGACTCGGAAACTATGGAAAGAGCCCAGATATCCATCGACTGATGAATGGATAAAGAAGATGTGGTATATATACACAATGGAATATAACTCAGTCATCAGAAAGAACGAAATCTTGCCATATTCAATGCTGTGGATGGAGCTAAAGAGTATTATGCTTAGCAAAATGTCAGAGAAAGACAAATAACCCTATGATTTTACTCCTATGTGGAATTTAAGAAATAGAACAGATGAACATTTGGGAAGGGGGAAAAAAAGGGAAGCAAACCATAATAGACTCTTAATGACAGAGAATAAACTGAGGGTTGGTGGATGGGGGTCGGGTGGGGGATGGGCTAGATGGTGAGGAGTTTTAAGGAGCACGCTTGTTGGGATGAGCACTGGGTGTTGTATGTTAGTGATGAATCAATAAATTCTCCTAAAACCAATATTATACTGTATGTTAACTAGCATTTAAATAAAAATTTGAAAAAGAAAGTAAATATATACTAGTAGATCAGTCAATTTTTTGCCAGTAATAAATATTTTATAGGTCCTTCTATAACATAAAACATTTTTACATGTTCACAAAAAGCACCTCTCAGCAATCCATATACTTTATCTGCCTAAATGTGATGAGGTAGATAATGGATTTCAAGGAACATCAGTTTTGTCTCCAAATTTCATATCTCACAAATGACAAGGACTTTCATTTATCTACAGTTTAGATAGCAAATAATCTTAATTACTGAGCTTTTCAAGCTTTCCAAGAAAGTTAAATGAAATGGTAAGGAGTATATACCTGAAACTTGTTTTAAAACATACAGTATGAACATGGCATAGGATTACCACATATTCAAACTGTTCTGAACTTATATCAGTAACAGGATCTAAGATTTAAATCACTACAAATTTTCAAGGCCTAACTTACTGAAGAAAGATTAAATTATGTTCATTAAGTACATTTTATTTTCTCCTATGATTAAAAAATGGTCATTTAGGATACCGGAGTAACACAGATTGTGCTCTCACTGCTCCCCTTCGCACAAGCTACCAGCTAACGGGTGTCTATCATGGGCCAGGCGTGTTACAGGGGACACATCTAGGCCCCACTTCTAGGCAGATGTGTCTTCCCATGAGGTCAGTCAAGCCCTAAGTCACACACACTCAGAGCTGGCAGAGCCAACAGAGATGTGCTGTCCTCAGAATCCATTCTGTTCTTGGCTTCTTCCATTACATTAAGCTATCCCTGGAAAATCAATCCCACTTTTTTTTTTTTTTTTTAAGATTGTTGGAGAGGGAGAGGGAAAACAAGTGGCGGAAGGAGAAGAGGGAGAAAAAGAAGCAGACTCCCACAGAGCAGGGAGCCTAATGTGGGGCTTGATCCCAGGGTCCCAGGATCATGACCTGAGCAGAAGGGAGATACCCAAACAACTGAGCCACCCAGGCGCCCCTCCCACTGACTTTTTATAAGCATTCTTAAACTCTCAGTCTCTAGAACAGAGATGCCTATAAGGGTCTCTTTCAATTACTAATTGGATCTCATAAAAATCAATGTTTTAAAGGATATTCCTTCCTCCTCTACTTTGCCTTTGGTACAGCATAATAAAACTGTATTTTAAAACAAAATTTTAACATGAGCCATTAAGTGCACCAATTGTAGTTCTTTCTTCAGTTTTTTTTTAAGATTTTATTTTTTTTATTTGACAGAGATCACAAGTAGGCAGAGAGGCAGGCAGAGAGAGAGTGGGAAGCAGGCTCCCCGCTGAGCAGAGAGCCCAAGCGGGGATCGATCCCAGGACCATAATGATCCCTGGGATCATGACCTGAGCTGAAGGCAGGGGCTTTAACCCACTGAGGCACCCAGGTACCCCTTTTCTTCAGTTTCTGTAGTGGTCAGCTCCTTGCTGCATATCCACTATTCATTACCTCCTTCCTTCCTTCACAAAGCTATACTTCTCTGCAGGAATCCAGTCCTCCCATACCTAGAGCAAGTGATTCAGTGAAAAGACACTGCTTGCTCAGTTGATTAGTCTAATGCTCTTGTAATAAGCTCCCCTATACCCCAACCCCTCATGCTGCATTCCCCACTCCCCACCTCCAACAGAGTGATTGAGTTCAGTAACCCAGATTTAGCCCATCAGCACATGGTATTCCCCAGGTGTCCTCTTAGTACAGGGTTTGCTTTGGGTCCTAAATGGACTCAATCAGACTAAAAGGAAGGAACAATGAATTTTTAGCTCCTAGTTGTGAAAAGGGTTTTTATCCTT